CCTTCCGTTCCTCCTCCTGTTCCGAGATGTCTGGTTTTTAGATTCTCCTCCAGACTTCGAAAGACTGATGACTTGTACTCTTTTATTTCAGATAAAAGTCAGTTTTCATGTTTATTCATGCAACCATATTAGAACATTCAATTACACTCTTGTAGCAGTAGAGACACCCTTCTCTGCTCCTCTCTCTCTCTCTTTCTCTTTTTTTTTTAAGTGTTTGGAGATCTGTTTTGCTGGGGATTTTCTTCTTCTTCTTCTATTACTGCTGCTACCTTCAGTGCTTTTACCCTTCAGTATCTTGTTTTGCATTACAAAAATACTGCAAGTAAAAGGAAAACTAGAGCTATGGTGGTACCTGGTGATCATTTATCCGTGCCTCAGTGTAATCCTCTATCACTATGTAGCAATTCTGAGAGCAGCATGTTGTCTTTCAGGAAAATACAGAAATCTGTCCACTTGCATGAAAGCTAAATATGCCACTAGTAATGACTTCATGCTGTACATCTCAGTTTCATTAAGAACCATGCAGGAGGCTTTCATCATACAGCATACAGAGTCAAACAAATCATTTTTTTCAGCGGGAAGAATGCCACAAGGTTATCATACTGCAGAGTGGTGAGCAGTGAGCTTTTAAAGATCACCACAAGCCACTGTACACTTAAATGCTGAGAAAAGCTCCTTATGCCCTCAAACATTTTCTGGGAAATGAAGCCAGGAGGCTAACCCTCCTGCCCCCGCGCCCAACACCAGGCGCTCGGAGCACCGTGGGGTGCTCCAGCAGGGCTTCTCACACGAGGAGCACGGGGTGCCTGCCCAGTGCTCCCAGCCGTGCTGGCAGGACCCGGGGCTGTGGGCGGCTGTGCCCCATCTGCCCGCATGCTTCTGGGAGCACAGCTCGCTCTGCACAGTATCGGTGCAGGCGTCCTGCCTGTATTTCCGAGGGGGACCATGCACGGATGCGGAGGGGTGTCGGTGGACACACAGCGTGGGGTGCCAGTGGAGGAGGCTGTTTCTCAAGGGTGGCCTATTTGCATGGCAGCAGGAAGGTCCCTTCTGCAACGGTGGTGCTGGGGCAGCTCGGGAGCCCCGCTGCAGCAGGGACCTCGTGCATGTGTGCCGTGGGAAGCTGTGCCCCAGCGGTGGGGACAGGGCAAGCCTCCCCCTGTCTCCCTCACCAGCTCCTGCATCCCCCTCCCACCGCTCCCTCGTCTGCTCGGAGCACCTCAGGCACCTCAGGCAGAGCACACAGCTCTGCCGCCCATGGCCGATTTTTTGGACCATTTCTGTAGGTCAGTAGTCACGTGTCCTAGCTGCTCTGCAGCTGACTGCCTCTCATGTCGCTATGGGAAGCCACATGCAGCAATCAGAGGGCAATAAAAGAAACAGCAAGCCAAGACCTTTCATTTTCGTTTTATTTTCCCCTTGCACTGTACCTGTTTCTGATAGGATACAGTCTGTAGGCAAAACTTTTTCCCTGCAGCTTAATCTCAGGGGCTGCAGAGTTCTTGCCTGTCTTCTGCACAGAAATTGCATCCCTGCTGGACAGTCATCGGTAATTTCTCCTTCCAGGGGAAAGACCTCTGACGGGAGGCAGAAGTGATCCTTGCAGGTCCATAGGATGTCTCCACAGCATGTCTGCACTGGTGGAGCTAAGGGGAGGTGCAGGGTGGGGTGTAAGGACCGGCAAGGCCACATACAGCTACAGTCTGACATTATCCAACAGTAAAGTGCAGGGCAGCACTTGTCATTCATCCATTGCACCCTGAGACAGGCCCCGACCCCTCACATCCCAAGCTGGCTCATCCAGGGAAAGCATTAATGGCACAATGCAATGCCCCAGAGAGGGGTAGCTGGTGTGAGGAAACCCTTCCCTCCCCACAACTGGGGAGATGCTGTGATGAGATGCTCCAGCTGCTGCTCCTGTCTTCTTGTCTGACACACAGGTCATGTCCAGCCACAGCATGTACAGCCCCGAGCTCTGGGCAGCCTGCCCTTCCCTTCTGCCCCTCGCTGTGGCTCTCACTCCCATTGCCTAACACACGCTGAGCGTTGGAAGGGAACACTGACTTTCTTGTACTACGCAGGCCAGGTGATGAAATTTTTTTTTTTTTTTTTTGCAAAATGGTACCATCTAACCACATAGCCACTTTGCCAAAAGATTGGGACCACTGTCCTTTCTGGTCAGCAATCCCGCACTAACGGATGTTTCTACATCTTGTTGTGCCATCGCAACCACACCACTTGTAGTTTGCTTCCCACTGGAGGTATTAGCCAGTTAGATGCAGGTGAAACCTGGCATGGTTCCTACCCACAGTGCTCCCCCTTGGCAGCTGGGAGCTGGCTGCCCGTACTTATTGGGCATGGAGAAGGGAAGGGCCAAGAAACAGATTTTTCCAGCATTTTCCCAGGCCTGAGAGAAAAGCGGTGTCATTGCAACACAATTTCAGGAGAGGTCTCCTGACCAGTCAACTGCCTATTGAGTGCTGTAGAGTAATTTAGCGCTGCTTCTGGCACATTTGCCTATACCCCAGGGAAGTGTTTTCACCTCTGGCTTGATGCAGCTCTCAAGTCCAGTGGAAGACAAGAGGGGGCCTGTTTTATAAGTGCCTCACTGAAGGAGGTAATGCATACAGACCTCCATTCTTGCTTTTGAAGGCAGGTGGTAGGGAAATTAATGTCCCTGTGACACTGGCAGGGGAAGTTTCTCAGAGAGGAGCTCAGGGTCGGAGAGTAAATTTTCCCTCTGTGCAGGAGGGAGGAATTGCCTAAGTGGGGAGCTGCCAAGGGATTTTTAATGCTGCAGCTTGGCCATCATCTGCTGTCCCAGATGGGAGGGGTAGGACAAGCTGACTCAAGACAGGGTCTCTTTGCTCTGCTACCAAAAAAGAGCATGTGTGTGACCTTCAGCTGTTCCCTCAGCTGGAGCCTAGCCTGCTGCTGCTGGTGGGTTGTGAGTAGAGGTGCCTGACCTGGCACTGCCAGAGATGTAGGAGCATGTACGAGGTCTCTGCTGCTGGCAGAGCTGTGAGGGTGGCAGTTCCTGCAGAGAGGGAGGGAAAAACTGCCAGGGAGACCAGAGACTGTTTTCCTGCCTTCAGCCACCTCTCATGGATCTGGGAGAAGTGCTCACTGTCTTTTCCCAGCTGGTCACGGACTGACTCCAGCTAAGGCTGGGAAGTGCTGCTCCCCTCCCAGGGAGGCAGGACAGGAACAACTCAACCTCCACTCAGCTCTTCAAGGAAGAGACGGTACCGAACGCCACCCTCCAGGCAGATGGGTCGCATGTCTTGGCCCTCAGCGGAGTGACTTTGTCCTTCCGGCAGCTCCAGATCCTGTGTAAGAAAACCTCCATGAAAGCCCATAGACTACTGGATCCAAGTAAGATTTTATTGCTGTCTGGGCTGAATGCGGCTTGCTTCGTCTATTGCAAATGCTTGCAAGAGAAAAATCTTTTTTCTCTGTACCTCTTCCTCTACTTCTTCCACAAAACCTTAAGGTGGGCTATGGGGAAGATTAGGAAAAACATTCAGTAGAGAGACAAGCAGCAGCAGAGCATTGAGGAGTCAGACAAACCTAGTTCCAGCAGAAGAAAAGGTGGCTGCAGTGTTTTCCAGACTACAGAGCAAACATGGGGGATCTTCTCTCTCATACCCTTTGAAAGAAAAGGCATTTTCTTATTGCTTCCTTCCTCATCTTTCCATTCTCAGACAACTGCTCTCAGGTTGACTTTCTGCTTCAGTTTTTACTTCTTTCCAATAAAAAGTTGCCTTTCAACAGAGCTATCTGCCTCCTCTTCTCCCTGCTTTTTTCATCTCTTGGCACCTTACACTTGTGTAATGCCACCTCAGCTCGGACGCTTCGTCTTTCCTGCTTTCTTCTCTGCACCTTTCAACAAGTTGTGGTTGCTGTTACTTGCTGCTGGGGGTTGCAGTAGCCTCAGGCTCAAATAACCCAGCTCCTTCTTCAATTATATCAAAATCCATTGCCAAAGATAACTTTCATCAAGTTTGCAGACAAGTATTTGGCTTGGTGCGCATCATGTAGCCAAGAATTGGCCTCACTTACTTCTCAGTGACAGCAGATACTTATCAAAGGCTTATTTAATACATCCACCCCATTTTTTCTCTTATCTCTAGCAGTCTGGAATAGAATTTAAGCCCATCCTTTCTGCAGTGGTCTTTAGATGTATCTGCAGTCTGTTATCACATTCCCTCCTTCCTCTAGAGGCAGTTCCATCAGCTTTCTCAGGATTGCAGGGACTAAAGACTAGGACTGAATTCCCTCAACTACAAGCAGCCTGATTGTGCACCGCCCAGGAAACCTACCCGACCACGAAAGTGCTCTTAGTCTGCCGCAGGTGCAAAGCCAAACTCTTTCCTTTTACACCTTTGGGTGACTGCTTCCAAAACTGCTTGTGCACAGAGTTCGACAGATTACCTTTACTTTCCAGGGCTTGCCTCTCTCTTCCATGTGTTTTATCAATGAAAAAATGAAGCCTTGGATACAAACACTTGTACGAATCCTATCCGTAGGACATGTGTATGAAATGGAGTAACCAAGCCTGTCACAGAATCAAAGAAAAAAATTATCTGTGGACTCTTGTTAAAAGTCCGACCACCCATGTTGTCAGAATTTTCTCTGTACTTGCTGAAACCCATGTCTGCTGCGTCCAGTCCTTTTGCCGTGCACCTCTGAGTATGAGGCTGTCTTTCCCAGAATCTCCCTCAGTTGAAGACAACAATTAGTTCACCCCTTGGCCTTCTCTTAAAAAAAAAGAAGTTTACTCATCCATTTCAGTCATTTTGCATGCTAACTTTCCTAGGTGATGTTGTAAGATATATTAGTGTTCACGGGTACCTTAGTCTTGCTGCAAAAAGTGTTAAACTTACTATAGCTGTTTAGCATCGGCTTTTTTTGGTTTGAACCTGATAATCATCTGTTGCCTGGCCAGAATGGGATGGCAGAAGAGTAATTTGGTCACTGTGGAATGGCTGTGATGAGGCTTGTGGCACCTTTCCCACTCACATGGGGATTCATCTGATGTAAGAGGTATTACAAGGACAGCTTTCTTGCCTGGCCTTGCAGCCAGGTTTTGAGGATGGTTTGGAAAGGGTGGCACTTCTGCATCATCCTGTGTGGAGGATTCTTGTACCCTAATCCCTACAGATCTGACAAACATCCTTGGCTGCAAAGGAAGAACCCATCCCCTTCACATTTAGAACCTAGCCCAGCCCAGCATTGATCAGCTAGGTTACAAGGGAGAGACATTGGCCCCAAATGCAGGACAAGTTCCAAGGGTAGGAGGGTAACAAAGGCGTGATGCAAAAGGCAACAGGAGAGTTCAGACTGAGTCATTTGTGGCCCTAGAGCTAGGCAGGACACCAAAACTCCAGGTGGCCAGCGCTGCAGAAACCCCTGTGTATGGCCGCTGCGTTAAGTGTCCTCTATGAAGAGAGACCTCTTACCCAACCACATGGGCTGGGATCCTGCTCTGTGAAACGCACTGCATCTACTCACCAGGAAGGCCAGGCTCAGCTCTGCTGGGAGCAGCCACGCTGCCCTCAGCGGGGACTAAACCAGTGCTGGCATAAATAAACACCACAGTGGAAGTAAAAGGAGGGGAAGGATGAAACTCCCCCCTCTCTGGCACACTCCACACTTTAACAAGGGGGGACAGTAGGAGCAGGTGAAGACGAGCACATTTAGCCCTCTGGAGAGCAGCAGGCCACAGCTGTTCCAGCAACTGGGTTCAACTCCAGCAACCAAGATAAAAGCACTACCAACCTCTACAGCCAGCCCTTAATGGAACAGCAGTAAAGGTATTTCAGCCTGAGGTAAATAAGCATCCTGTCATAATCAAATTTTGCTCAAGCACTGAGTCGCAGCTGAATCCCAAGTGTTGAGTTTCAGTGGTATTTCACTAGCACTTATTTCACATAACCACCATTTGACAGCTTACAGACTAGCACCACAGACATGGGCTGCGCACTAGTGTTTAAAAAAAAAAAAAAGTGTTTTCCGGCAATTCCGATCTAATTTACAGCTCCTGAAAATAAGAGGCTTTTGGAAGAATATTGGCTTTTAAGTATGCAATGCATCCTATTATCCTGAGAGGTCAGGATATGATGCATTATTTCTATTTTACAGAAATAGAATTTTGAACTAATTGGCAGTCTAGATCTTTACTTTCATTAGCATCACCTAATCACTTCAATATCATGAGGTATACATTCACGCCAGGAAGTAACTAAAAACCCAATCATGAGAACAGGTAGCTGATTTTCCTGTTCTTTTCTCCTTGAAAATATCCCATCTTAACACCTTTTCCCTGCAGTTATTATATGTGTTACACTTTCAAATCAAATTCTATTTTTTTGTATTTCATTTCCCTGTGCTCCATAGGACTGCTTTCTTTTATTAGTTGAGACCATGCACTGATAGTTAAGGATTTATTTATTCCGAAGTATAATCTAGAAGAGACTGGATATTTATTAAGAGCAATTAGCTTAATAAAACAATGTTTCCTGAAAGATTGCTATCACTTAGAAAGATTTAGATCCGAAATCACTGCTTCAGCTGTCTAATCTGCCATGTCAGAAAAAGGAAGCTAGCCATTGTCCAAATAAGAAACCAGATCCCCTGAATCTCTGAGAGAGTTACTAGTATTATTTACAGTAATAAAACCACCACCACAATCTACAGGGATAAGCTTTTCACCTTCTTCTGGGACATCTGACGTCTGCACAGCTGAGCTGAGGGCCTTAGCAGCTTTCATGCTAAAAACAGACTTAATGTCACATTAAAGGCCACTAATTTTTTAAATGTCAACTCACCTGCATAGCTAGTCACTTCCTATAAAAGAGACAGGCAACAATTTGACTTTAACTTGTTCTTAGTTTTGGGGAGCAACGTTTGACCATTTGTTAAATCTGAAAAGGTATATGCTTAGAAACATCTGACTAGTGAGTCAGCACTAATTCCTCAGATCTCAGCATGGCTTGGCAAGTCACAATCAAATTGGACTGCAGTGTCAAATGCAAGAATTGTGCAATAATCCACTGTGATAATGCAGCTGAAAAAAGATGACAGCAACTCCCCGGTCAAGCCATTTAATAAATAGGGTCAGGCAGCCAGTGCCATGCCAGCCTCCCCCACCTGACCATATATATTTAATTGCATGTATTTTCTGATCACAAACATTACCTATGAGTAACAGGTGTAGTGACTGGCTGTTGCTGGAGGATACAACAGGGTGTTTCAGCCGCAGCAATGGCCTGTCACATTCTGTAAGTAATTCTGCTGCTGTTCTGGGCAATTCACTCAAAAAATACCAACTGAAGTGTTGTATCAACTTTATTGATAGAATAGCATGCAGAGTCCACCAACCACTGAACAGTTCAGAGCCTAACCATGTATTTCCACGTGTGAAATTAAGATCCAATCTTTTGTTCATTTCAGTATGGACTCTTCACTTGCTAGAAGGGAAGAAAAAACAAACATAGTTAGGACTACTAGTCACTCCCATGCAGCACTAAAATACACAAAGCATTAGTGGGATCAAAGGCTACCTTTAAGTACGCAACTTGTTTCTAGCCAGTTTTTATGATTCTCGCTTCTTCTTATTCAAAAGAAGTGTATTTCAATGCTTAGGGGTAAAGGCACTTCTTTGGCTTACTTATTAGTAAATGACAGTTTCCTGAACTGACAATTCAAAGAACCCCAGAAAAAGCTATCATCATGGATAAGTCCAGTTATCCATCTTCAACAACTGCATTGCACTGAATGAAGTTTTAACAATTGCTTTTCTAACTGGAAAACCACACCAAAACCACTGTTGGGAAAGCAGACTGGTCATCTGTGTGCCACTTTTAAATAGACTAAACATTCTAAAGAAATAATCACAGAATTCCATTATTAAGTGGAGTAGCAACACCGCAGCACAACCTCTATCTCCAAAAATACAGAAAGTTTCAACTAAAGCAGAAAACACCTAAAAGACCCATTTATTTAGTCCATGACCAATAGAGACTAGATATTTAAGATGGTAAACAGCTGTGCAAAATAGCTTTATCTCTAGTAAGCAATACAATTCACCAACTTGCGTATTTGATTTTTTGTATGTGTAGTTCATTTAACTTTACAGGGTTTTGTCAACATTAGTCTTCTTCAGGACAATGCAAATGTCACTATTTCCCACTGTGTAGCTGCACCAAGAACAGCTTGAGTTATTAATCAATTTTCTTAAAGTTCTTCTTAACTGTAAGTCCACCTAAAAAAAACCTAGGTGAATTCAAGCTAGAGAGCACACTCCTCTGTAAGGTGGGGAGGGGGAGGAATCTTCTGTTAGAAATGCACAGGGGACCCAAGAAATAATCCTAAGGACGAGAGAAAGCCTGCTACA